TATGGAAGTAAGTTGTTGGGCAAAGTTGGCGAACGGGTGAGGAAAAGGAGGTGTGACCTAAACCGTCTAACATGAAAATGAACGAAGAAATTCGCTACCTACTGTTGCAAATAAGTTTTATCTTTCAACCCAGCGCGACAGATATACTTTCTCTATAGAACGTAGAGGCACTGTAGTACCGTTCCAAAGCATTGCAAGGTTTGCAAACAAGGGATTATAACATTCTACTCCTTCGAATCTTCATTTTGTCCCCTATTTTCATTTACAATAGAGAAAGTATATTTCTGTAAATAAAGGAATTTCAAAATTTAATTATTAGCAGTCCAAATGCATGGACACTTGTGGAGATTGATCGTTGAACAATTCTAAAACTCTACACATTATTCCATTTAGTGAAAGTTGAGAATAACTTCCAATTTATATTGCCTCTACGCCTCATGATATATTCACGAGCGATCTCGGCGCTTGCTGATAAATATGAATTGCTGCTACATTTTTTTGAAATCTTAAAAAAAGTAGTGGCTATCCTTTCATATAAGTATAATCGCTTACATAAATCAATTTTCAGTCTCCTTTCATGTAGTAATCCAACACAGAAAGATAGTCGATTGCTTTTGCACTGTCAGAGCTGAGCTCATCTTTACAATTTTAAATCCTTAATTACTGGTAGCATGGTGCACTAATGACTCACCATTAAACAGTGTGTACCTTGTTAGAACATTCCATATATGAATGGTTTCATTGATCTAACTAATATCTCTACCTTAGCCACTTCGCCTATAGTACAAGAGTGCCTCTGCCGCATTAACTTGCGAATTTTTACTCTAAAGTGCAACTTACCCAAGTGAATCAAAGATTAATAGAACAAACTGTGTGATACAAACATTCTGCAGATCAACGTGAAAAGGTTACCAGCAAAATAATCACTTACCTGAACATCTTTACCAGCATAACCCTGCTGATACTGATCCATTTGCCACATTTGACTCATTGCTTTGAAGGCGTTTTGCTGCGCTGCAGCATCGTAAAAGTTTCCCATCTGATGAATATCCGATGACATTTCTTCACGATGTTACCTAGACCTGAAATAAATCTCTACTTTTCTTATTCTGACAGGAAAGCAGAAGTGCAGTTGCGAAATAAGTGAATAACGAGGCAGATTACGGTAATATATGAACTGCCATAGGGTGTTCTTGCAGATGGTGGAAGTGAGGAGAAGGTGGGTGCGATGGTGGTGACCCGAGCGGATGGCGGCGCGCTTTGTTGCGCGGGTTGCGTCACCCGGCGGGCAATGCTAACCACAAAACAACTAGCAGACATAAAGAGATAAGCGAATGAGGACACTCCGTTACGCCATCACCTCGCAATCCACCACCTATAGCGACCTATTCCATCAGTTGAACAACGCGTAAATGTGCAAATTTTTTACATTCTCAATACCAATGAAGACATCTTGTCAGGTATGGGGATTGGGTAAAGGGTATTTTGAGTATTTTTCTAACCATACGAGCGGAAATCCTTTCAGTTGGGTGGAAGGGTTTCGCTGATGGCTGAGGATCCGTCGAGATAAACCTTTGGCCAATGAAACAGTAATTGACAAAACAACAATAAATACTTAACTACACTAAACATATTTCTAACCCTTCAGTTTCAACTTAACACATCTCATTAGCGGCATTAGGGCCTTCAAAAATTATTTTGTGTTTTCTGTGCGCTAAGAGCTAATGCAGTGCAAATGACGCCCGTTAGCTCATCCACGAGATTTCTTCATAGAAATGGAGACCCAAAAGCATTCTTTAAGCATT